ATGCTTGGTGTCATCAACTACCTCATCATATTCTTCCTCGTCGTCATCATCGTCACTATCGGTTTCCTCCCCGCGCTCGCGCACACACAATTTTTGTTGTTTCTTCTTCCTCTGGTCCTCCTTCCTCTTTCCGCTCGGCCTTGGTGCGGTTCGCCGCCCTCATGGACAGATCCCTCAGCAATGGAGCCAGAGATCCATGAGGATGAGGTCCCTCAGCTGGTCCCCCACTATCAATGTCGGTATCAAGGGGTCAGAAGTCCAATTGAAGGAGAAGGCACGAGGAAGAGAAAACTTACAAGGACAATATACCCTGGTTCCGGCCGCATCGGTGGGTGCCCCGGAACCGGATACACAAACTCAAGGATAGCGATGGTGTCATCCCGCGAAGGCTCCATTGCCTCCTTGATGCGCTGCGCCACTTCAAAGGGGGAGAGCGCTCCCCCGACGAGCGCTGTCCCATTGAGTGATGCCCCGAGCACCATCGTGTGCAGAGGAAGCGCATGCCTCATCAACGGCGCCACCCTCCGTGTGTGGTAGGCGCCGATGATCCCCGACCCCTTCACGCCCCTCTCCTTTAGGATTCGGATGGCGATGAGATGGTCTCGGATTCTCTTCTTGTCTTTCTTCGGCATTCCCCACTTCCTCCATGAGTCCGAGACCTCTTCGATGAGATGCCCGGTGAACTATGATAAGGGGGCGACTGCGTTGTTCTTGATGTAGAACCAATACGAATGCCACCCCTTGTTGGAGGTTGATAGACGCATCGGCGAGTACTCACTGACCCAGTTGTTGCAGAGCTGAATGTCAGCGCATCCCATTGGCATGTTCAGCTCCTTCTTCTTCTCCCGCTTCTTTAGGAGGGTGACGGCGAAGAAGTACCACCACAGGTCAAAGTGGGGACTAATCCCCAGGAATCCCTCACACAGGGCGATGAACGCCGCAATGTGCTGGATTCCGTTGGAATTAAGGTGTTGCAGCTCTACCTTGTAGTAGTGCAGCAATACCCAAAGAAACTTGTGGGCAGGGGTGGTGAATCCCCGCTCATGGAAGTGAGCGAAGGACACGAAATAGCCGTTGGGCGGCCACGGCGCATCCTCATCACTGGGCAGCCACCACTCCTCAGCGGCAGTCCGTGCACAAAGAAGATCGTGGTGAATGAGGCTGTCGGTGTTTCGTACAAGCACCGGCAAGTAAATTTATAGTAATGCGCGTTTGGCTCGGATGGTGCGCTAAAGGACACAAGATTTATACTGGTTCGGGCCGAAAGTCCCTACGTCTAGTTTGTTACTGCTCGTGTTATTAGCACCGTGAACAGTTTGCAGTAAGGGGTACAAACGATCGAGAGAGGGACTGGTCCCCAGTCTCTGATGGAAGGATTGAAGGGATGTCAAGAGGTTCGACACAACTTGACTGTGCATATCTGAGAGTCATCTCGTTCGATCTTTTTCTTCTCCACCCATTATGGAGGAAGCACATCCCCTTTTATAGATG